GGCGAGAACAGCTGAGCCAGCTTTTTGGCGGAGCGACCACTGGGCAGCGCCTGGATGTTTTCTTTCTGTGCTTCAATAACGTCAAAGTTGATGAGATCGTCGGAGGCTGCCATGGTTAGTATCGTCGCGGCAAGTTGCCGTCGCGTCTCCGAGTGATGTGGTGCTGGAGTACTGCGTCTAGGTTGTCGATGTTCAAGTTCGAAATGGGGTAGCGTTAGAAAAGGATGCCCAGTGTTGTGGTGTTGATTATTGATAACGATAACAGATCGGCCATGTGGGTCGTGTGGCACGTTGCTGGGACAACGATGGGCTTCACTTCGCTTATGTAATCGCTTGCTCTTCACCGAGCTCGGTGTGCCCTCATCGTCAGTTATTCAAACGGTACTTACCAGATTAGGAAGTAGCAGTACGCCTCCATTTATTCCGTTATGCTACTTCCATGTAATACTCCCACGTCATCCATTTCGACACAAAGGAAGAATCTCATCATGTAACAAAGCTTGAACCGTTTTGCGAATTTAATAATGACAAAAGATTTTAGCGTCAAAAAAAACCTCGGCCCTCCGTTTGGCCTCTTCTAGCGCTCGGTCCGTCTGATCTTAGTGGCCGGTTCTGCCCTTGTGCCCCTATCTTGTCCAGCCTCTTCTAATATGGAAGTAAAAAGTCAGAATGACGCCACCCCATTCACTCCCTTCTTGCCGACTTGATGTCACAGATTCGAGTTCGCTCATCGCAATACAGCCGATTTCTGCATGCTTCTTACATGTTGAACGGCCAATACATTTCGCACCTAGCTCTTAAAGAGCTGTGAACGCGTTGTAGAGGAGCATCGTCATGGAATACTCAACGCTGGCGACTTCGGGGTCAATGCTGATGCCGAAGAAACGCCTGCTGGACCTTCCCAACGAGCTCATCCGTTGCATCGTCGACTCCGTCGCTCTTTTGAGGAGAGACAGATACGATGGTGCTAGAGATATCCGGACCTTGTCGAATCTTTCACAAACTTGTCAAATATTTCACCTTCTCTGCAACTCTCAACTCTTTTCTAATATCAACCTGGATGAATCCAAAGACGCCGCTGGTCTTCTCATCCGGTCCCTCATCGAAACACCTGAACTTGGGGTTCATGTGCAACATTTGACATTACGCGTAATATGGGAGTCAGCCGAGCAATGTGAGAGGGGATTGCGGAAACGGCTTACACCAACTCATAGCAATGCGACAGGTCATCCGGGAACCTTACCCAATTTGCGGCACTTGGAACTGGAAGACCCTGCGGTGTACTTCATGAATATTCCCGAGGTTCCTCGCATATTCAATGGCCTGCTTGCCCTGCCTCCTCTCACTTCGATTCTTACGCGATACGACAACGATAGATGGGGAGGTCTCGCCCAACTCGCCGCGGCTGGACCCTTTGCCTTGGAGCAAATTCGTTTCCACGAAACTGCCATCCGCGGACCCGATTTATGCCGACTACTCCAGCTGTGCCCCGGTCTTCGAGTTCTCGAAATCGAGATTGACTATCACTTTTTCGCTCCTTGTTTCCAGCAAACCACACACCCGGGGATCACCACTCACCTATCGACGACGCTTTCAACACTCTGCCCGCGTTTGCAGAGACTTACGCTGTTACATGGGGACCTCTCAGCTCTTCGGACCCCCGATGAACCATGTCTTACATGTCTCACAGATTTGGAAGATCTGACTGTGTTGGAGACCGAATTGCCAACCATCTTCAGAAGTTCCGAAGACATGGCAAACGCAGACATCACTGCGCGTCTGCCGCCCAAGCTCACGCAATTGACTCTCCATGACATTTGGTACTCGGACCCAAGATACTGCCTGTACTCTTTAGCCCCAGGCTCTCGTCCTTGGATTCATGAGAGGTTAGATGCTAGCACTGAACCTCTGACTGTGATGCTGCTTCGTCTGGCATCATCATGCTTGGCCGGTCAACTACCTAGCCTCCGAAAGGTAGCCGTTAAGACTCCAACATACGAACACGACAGAGGCAATACTTCTGATGAAATTTCAAAAGCCTTTGCGAAGACTGGAGTTTTATTCGAGCTTATTTCCGCTCACTCAACATTTCCATGTCCATTAACGCGATAGCATCAGAGAATGGGACAAGTTTTTATGAGCAAATGTTTTGGCATAATTTCAGTGCTTACTTAGCTATAATTAGTAATTGAGTGAAATTTAGGTTTTGTTGAATACGACCGTTATTTCCACAACGTAAGTCTAGTGCTTTAATTCAGTGCTCTATGGTTTAATACTACTGTAGCCTACCTAAGTTACTCCCAGCCTGTACGAGGGTTTATCATGACTCCAGGGATTTCTCTTCCCCCACTATTGGTAGGTTTGGTTTGGCCGTAAGTGAGACATTTCTTTCAACAGAAAACATTCCCTAGAAATCTTGTCTTTGTTATTATTATAGCAAAACATAATGTATGGAGACGTGCACATGATATTACTTGGGTTGCAGCAGTTTAGGGAAAGATTGAAGAAGGTAGAGCAAGTAAAACAAAAGTCTCAGAAGACGCCGCCTGAACTTGCAGACACCAAAACCATTCAAATTGAGGTGCATGTGTCGTGGCTGCACTCAAAAAGCTCTGAACCGACTGCCGGGGCATTCCCGATCCGCACAGCGGGGTTCTTGCATCACGTCATACGGGCCGAACAATAACCTCTTCGACTATACCTCTACTAAGTACATTGCACTTCTAGTAATAAAACCAACGTCTTATCGACTCAAATAAGGCAGCAATTCGTACTTACCTCGAACGTCGAGAACAAGCTGCTCGGAAAAAACTTAGAACTTTTTACCCCTCACACTCTCACGATGCGTGTCGAAAAGTTCCTCCTATCGCCCCCGAGCCTGGAAGAGTTAGTCGAGCGACTCAAAGCTCCCTTGGACGCCAACTACAAGCACGCGTCAGTGGCTGTGGTCAATTGTCCCGACCTGCGAAAAGCACCTTTTCACTTGGCGACCGAGGGCCTCTCAGGGGAGGAAAAAATCGCAGATGTTGGCGGCCAGCCGAACCTCTTTCCCCGCCCCCGGCTTGACAGCATCTGGTCCATACCAGAGATTGGCAAAAATATGGAAATGAGCCCTGAAAAGGGCAGCTTGATCGGTGCCGGCGCCGGTCCTTTCCACGTCATCGGGCAGAACAGCGAGCTTGCGCCGAATCTTAGCTGGCAAGGGGGTCTTGACAAGGTCGATAACAAAAGTCAAGTCATCCAGATCAAACGCACCACCGGAGAAGTCAGCGTTGGAACGAGCCCTTCCGTAGACTGCGGTCTCATGGTCAACTTGTACGGCTCCTTGGGCGAGCCAGGACCGGTCCTCAAGATTACAGCAAAGGGCCGCAAGGGTTCTGAAAAGAGCTTTACCGAGTGTATCCGGAAAGGGCTGATTGCTGCATATGGCAACGAAAGAACTATCAGTCTCGGCGGAGCCTTTGTTGTGAAGGCAGGGAAGGCAACTTACCACATCATGCCTGATTTCCCTGCTGAGAGCGATCTGCCTTTTAAGGATAGAAAGGAAGTTGAGAAATGGTTGACCTTTCATGATTTCGATTCGCCCGTTGTGGGACTATGCGTATTGCACTCTGCGGATCCGGGCAACAAGATGGGCTTGAGGATTGAGCACACGCACGCGTTCTCTCCACTGGGAAAGAATGCTGGAGGTCACTATCATTACGAAGCCGAAGGAGAGGAAGACATTATTGAATATGAAGGATACTTCAATACTGCAAGGGCAATATACAGGATAGATAGCCCCGCGAATGTGAAAGGGTGAAGAATGATAGTATCAACATTACAATGACCTGCCCGATCCTTCAGTACCAGAGATCCTCATCCTCAGACTCTTCGTCAGGAATATTAAGGCTCTCTTTGAATTCCTTTGTCCACTGTCGGAGTGGCTTTTCACCGACTCGAAGCTCGTCGTAAAATGACTTCAGCGGTTCCGGCAGTTGTTTCGAGTCGAGCAAACCGTCGTCGTCAACATATTCCTCCATGTAGGCGATCATGGCCATGGCGAAGGAGCCCATTGTCTTGCCTGAGTCACGAGCATAGAGTCGCAGGTAAGCCTCTAACAGTATGTGAGATCTGGGTACGACAATGGAGGTGTCGGTAGATTTGAAAGCACCAGATCCGCGACCCGGTCGCCAGGGTGGAAGCACATCTCGGTTATGAGCAAGAGCAAATGTCGCTGATTGCTTGTCTTCGAAAGCTAAGAGGGAATCGTCAAAGTCTGGTAGAAACCATAGTGTTTCTGACTGTAGGTATAACCCTATGGTGAGCTCCGAGGATTTGATGTGCACATGAAATGCAGGCGGTGGTGTTCGGCGCTCAGGCGAGCTCGCAAAGCATAGTTCCACGGATGGGCATTGCTCGATTTCGGGTAATTCTGAAATAGCATCGGCGCCGACCGAAAGCATTTTATCCTGGACGACAAAATCTATAGACTTTCTGTTTGTTAGCCTTGGTATTCAAGACACCAATGCAAATGCTCGGAATGAACCTACCCCTATGATTGAAGGTACGCCGTGGACATTAAGCAGATAGTGTCCCCAGAGTACGCAGGGAGTTTTTGATGCGTTGAGGGCCGAGAAAACCGACTCTACAAATTGTTCTGAAGTTCGAAACATTCCGAGCATTTTTGGTCATTGAACAGTGCCTGCGACTCCAGTTTGTTCTTTGGAAATTGGTGATGTGTGATGAGATCATGGCCATTCAACGTATGACCTGAACAGCATGTGTATGTAAATATTGTTAGTGGTCAAGCAAGTTGGTTGGGTCTTGATATTTAACACAGGCCGCTGTATTTACCGCGGACGTGTGGAGACACTGCCTGCTGAAGAAGATGGCTAGGCGGCTGGGCAACCTCTCACAGCCAACTTGTCATCTACAACCCACACACTCCGCCTTCGAAGTCACGCTAGCACAGCAAGTATTACGCTTCCTTCATTTCCGCTCTTCATCTGGGGTACAACATGGACGCAGCGCATCGCTTTACTTATTTCGGAGCTTTGCCCCCAGAATTACGACTGCAGATATGGACGGAAGCGCTTTCGGTGCCATCCGTTTGGGCTGTGAATCGTAAAGCAACCGCAACCAACAACGCCAACAAGAGCCATCTGCCCCTCATCATGAACCATGTTGGTCCGGCTCCCTATCTAGCAGGCCTCGCTTGCAAGGAGTCGCGGCGGCTAATGGAACAATTATACGCCAAGCCCATACATAGACCAACGCACTCGGCGGCAAGTAGTGCGATTCATTGGATCGATCTGCAAAAAACGGTCGTCTCACTCGGGGACTACCGGTCCGCGGGGGCTTTGTTGGATGCATTCACTTTCGAAGACTTGGCAAGATTCCGCCATGTCGTTCTACAGTCATCACGGTTCTCTGATATGGCCAGGTTGTGCCAGCGCCTGGCCAACTCATGTCCCGGGTTGTGCACGATCATCATACACACGAATCACGCTGGCTGCCTTTTCACCGACCTTCGTTGTGAACCCTTGACCCAAGACATGGGTGCACTTTTTGTCAACATCCTGGAGGACCCGGCCGCCGGCCTAGATTGCAACCACTACGATATCATCCACTTTCGCAGTCTGCTGCTGGGCTATTTCGGCGACTCGCCTCCGACATTGCATTTCGCCTCCCCACCCGGAGCGACTCGCCAAGACTGATGTTGGTTCAGCCTTAGTTGTCGCGGCCTCTTCGTCACGTCTTGTTCGATGCCGTTGGTTGGTTTTATTGCTTAAGTTATTTGTCACTTTGTTGATTCGATGTTGGTTCGATGTTGATTCAATGTTGATTCAATGTTGGGACTGATATCAGCGTATCGCGGCTTGTCCCTGTATCATTCTCGATTCGGATAGAGGTGATTGCCTAGGCCCCTTGGTTACACTATGGTCTGGAGCTTCGCTGGGAGCCATGGCTCTTGGGGTCTAAAATGTTTGTTATATCAATGAACGCGCATGCTCTGTGTAACCTCTGAAAATCAATCTAGCATCACTGCACCTCGCTTCACCGATCACCAGTAACTATCTACAGTCTATTTATCCAAATATTTTTAGTGTTTTTTCTTTCTTTCGTTCGAGACCATGACTGAGAGAATTCTTCTTGAAAACGCTGCCTCTGAGGTTATCAGCATTCTGAAAGGCATCCCGGAATTTACTCATGCTCGAGTCGCCGTGATTGGCGGGTTAGCGCTGTGGAAGTATGTTCCTACTGGCAGGACCACTGAAGTATGTTTCACCAGCAGCTGGATGACTGTCAATCAGCTTTGCCAAAGTTCACCGAGACTCGCATCTGACTTTGATCAATGCAGGACGTCGACTTCATTATCAACATCGACAGTGCTCCGCATGGGATTAAACAGAAGTTGCTTTCTCTTCCAAACTCTCCATTCGTTCAACAGGCACAGTTCTTCTATTACAAGCAAGGAACAACTTTGGTGCAAGTTGATATCACTCCCGGATGGCAGGTCAGTTTAAACATTGAATCAATGGCACGCTAGCTCTCTGACATTCGTACCATAGTCCCCTTACATGCCGGCTGCCGCCACAGAAATCGGGAGGATACCTCATGGTTCTGTTCCATATATATCACCTACGGACCTTATTGTCTTCAAGATCAACTCTTGCGGCTTGAGGGCTCAGGTGAACAAGAAACGTACCGATGCTTTGGATGCGGTGACGTTGCTGGAACTCGAGACCAGAAAAGGGCCGTTGACTCTCAACAGCGCCCAAAGAACCGTTGTGGAGCAATGTATTGCAGACGTTGTGGCACACGGCCCCAAAAACGCTCAATGGTGGAAGCAGCGTCTCGGTTTGCGTTGATCTAACTTCCGGGCTCCTGTACAATGCATAGCATGATCCTGGTGGAGTGCTTGCTGTTTATTTGCTGTCTGTACATTCGTTCTAGACTCCTTTGCCCCCACAGTGTGCTGTGTGCAGTCAAAGGGCGCTGTGTTCAACCCTTGAGTATCTTCGATCATATCTTAATGACCTTATTCTCGTCGAATCCTGCTGCCTGCGCGAAGTAATATCCTCGCTGATTCGCAATCAGCCTCAGGGGCTCTGTATCGCCTTCCCTCTCAACGCTGAAATCACAGTTGTAGTGCGTATGACCAAATGCCCAAATCTTGACTCTGGCGCTTTTGAAGCAGTCCTCCTTTGATAAATCCGTGGCAAAACCACTGGTGATGGGACTATGTGCATGCCTTGGATCAGACGCCCGAGCATCCCTCGTCGGACTCCAGTGTGAAAATATGATGATTCTGGCCTCAGACTTTTCGAGCTCTGCGACTTGGGAATTGAGCCAAGAAAGATCTCGTTTGTGGGCTTCGTTATGCGAACTGATTTCCCAATCTTCGATTTGGAAGAAGTCCTGGAGTCCCATGCTGACTGAATCGGCGCTTTCAGGCGGGATGAAGGAGAACAGGCTGCAGCCTAAGATGACGATATTGGAGTCTGGTACCTGGAACATAGAGCGGTCGAGTAGTACAAAGTCTCCCAGTGACGATTTTTTCTTTGCAGCTGCTTGAAAATCCTGGAGAATTTTGAGAGTGAAATCCCACCTTGAGTGATAGGCTTCATGGTTTCCAGGAACGAATAGAACAGCGCGAAATTGCTGAAGCTGCTGTGTCAAGAAAGCGAGGCACTCCTCCTTGTGCGCAGCAACGTTTCCTATGTCGCCAAGAAGGCCTAGGTAAGGTGCCTGTGGCACGATTTCGAACATATCGTAAGCTCTCGGGGACTCAAGATGAAGGTCGGAAACTATTTGGATAGCCATTCTGAGGAAGAGCGGGGGATTTCTCAATTATGGAAAATCGTGGTGTTGGTTGGTGAAAGATAATGTTTATTTGCAAACGAAAACGCATCCCTGCTTAGGCCCAATAAACATAGTGCGATAAATGGATTATACGTACTGGACACTGTGTTAAGGAGAACCGGAATTGTTACCAGTCGCTCTTATTCGCAGACAGTGCTTTCCACCGTTCCAAAATTAGACAACATTGAATGATCCAACACCAAAAATGATCACCCATTTGTGCCTGATCATGGTTATCTAGACATAAGCTGCCGTCAGACGTGCTATAAGCTACATGCCTATAGTTTTACAATCATCAAGCAGTAGCTTGACAAGTGGCAACTGAATGGAGGTAATTGAGATGATTGATATTATTTAACACTGGAGACAAGTGGGCTTGAGCGGGTGCAAGCTTGAAAGGAGCTGAATCTTGATGGTTGAATACTCATAGGGTATTGTAGTACCTCAAGTCTGTGAAACTTTAGCGATAAGAGACGCGAGAACCTTTGGCGTCCCAGTATGTCTTTGAAATCGGCAATCTCCGCAATCGCCCCCTTGCCTCTTTAGGCCACGGAATATTTTCCTCTGTCAGGGGCCGCTCAAACCTTCAATGTCAACACATCACTCGCAAAAACAACCAACTTACTAGCGTGCTAAGATGTTCACTGTTCGACAGGCAATCGGGAAAGGCCTCGGGGTCTTTGCTTCGAGACCAATTCTCACAGGCCAAAGGATCCTCACAGACCAAGCTCTACTCACAATCACATCCTCAGATAGCAACTCGATCTTGCGACAAGCCCAACTTCTCTCAACAACTGGCCGGGACTCATTACTCTCGTTATCAACCAATCCCAGCAAGTCAAGCATCTTCAGCTGGCTAGAGTCAATATGGCGAAGCAAGTCTGCTCCACAAGACACAGTGTCTAACCACACCATTCTCAATATCTTTCGGAACAACAACTTCAACATTGGCAACCAGACCCAAGCGCTCTTTCCTCAAGTTGCGCGCTTGAACCACTCATGTGTCCCTAACGCGCAAGGAAACTTCAACAAGGACTTGAACGCATTCACCATTCACGCTACCAGAAACATTGAGCCGGAAGAAGAAATCACAATCTCCTACCTCGACGAACATCTGGGCCTGCGGCAATCCCGACAGACCGCGTTGCATGACGGGTACGGCTTCACTTGTGGATGCTCTGCTTGCAGTCCGACCACCTCGTCAGAAGCCGGCGAGGTGCGCCGGGCGGAGATTCAGCGCAAGCTGGAGCTCTTCGCCGAAGCTGCTTCTGAGGATCCGGAGGACGAGTTCAAGATGATGCTTGCGCTCTTGGACGCTCACGAGGCGGAGGCTATCCGCGGACGGGAGGTCTCGACGATGTATATCGCTACCGCTCGTAAAGCGTTTGACTTGGGAAAGCGAGAGGAAGGACGCGAGCTGGCGTTGAAGGGCCTGCAGCTCGAGAAGGAGGCTGTGGGTGATGACAGCCCTTTCTATGCTGCTACTCTGGAAGCAGTACAAGCGCTGGGGGTTGAGATTTGAGTCTGGGTCAACGAAGTAGGCATGGTCGACTAAAGGCAGCAGATCTTCATTTCCGAAGTTCCACGTCTCGAGATACCCAACAACATTTTTTGTCTTACGTTCAGTGCACCATTGTCCACTCTAGTCTTTATCAATTATCTACAAACTCGGAAACTCATCTTGGACCTCAGAATCAGTTGCCATCGACCACTGACCTGAAGGCTCCGTCAAGACCTAACTCTTCGACCAGTTGTATGGGCGACGCTCCCAGCTCCCAGCTCATTCACACGGGGCTGGTATTCTATTGAAGGGTTTCAAAATCGAGTAGCTTCACACCTTCTGCCACAACGAGAAAATTGCATTGATTCGCTTCTTCGTGTACGAGTCCTAGAGGCGAAGAGCTAATTCACCGAGACGCCAAAATCTTTGCGATGGTATGAGGCAACTCGGTCAATGGCTTCAGCCCAGTCCTCGTACTGGCGGAAAGAGTATTCAGTGATGGAATACCCGCGAGATATAGGACCACCGTTACAGGCTGGGATATAGGCAAGCTTAACTCTGGTTTCAACAGTAGTAAAAGGGACTCTTGCCCAGAAGCTGAAGTTGGTTATACCCCTAATCCTGAAGTGCAAAGCTACCGAGCTGTAGCTTGTGAGCTCGAACACCACAAGGACCAATTTTTTTTCTTTCTTCCTTCCCATATATCGTTTTTTCCCTTCCATTTTGGGTACCAACTGATGCATACGTTCTTGGAGCTGCCTGACGTAAAGGTGAGGGTCAAAGTTGTCGGGGTTCAGTCTCGAGGTTGTCACGGCCATCTTATAGCCTTTGTCGCATTCGCATACTTGCCGCCTTTCGGGATTTGGCCCACATGGCTCATCAAGGTCTGTAACAGTAGTGGCTGTCCACATCGTGGTGCTTGATATCTCCCGAAAATGTTGTGTGAGACATCTTCCCGCAGTCACCAAACGCCCCAGATTCTTATCATAAGCAAGAGCAAGATTGTTTGTAGTTGTGCTGACTAGGAGGCGCTGAAGATGTGTTTCTGACCTCCATTGGGCAACTAAATGAGAGAGTAAACACATGCAGTGACATGCTTAGAAGCTCGTGCGTCCGGGGCACTACCTTATCCGCCCATCACTAGGTATGAACAGGTGGCTAGAGCTTGAACTGAAGGTGGCCTTTCTTCTAGTCGCCATCTTAGTTTCTAACTTCGTTAGTGGTGTGTCATCGCTTGAATTTGAAGTGTTTTTGCCAACGGTTCGTAGCTCCCCCGCAGACGCCAATTCACGGAGTGCGACAGTTCCAATAGAGGTTATCTCCTATTTCCGGCCGTCATCTTTCTCTGAAACGTACGTCATGCAAGACCTACAGACAGAGTTACACCAAAATTAGCGCTGTTTCTGTGTTTCCACGATGTACAAATCCCCCGCAATTGGGGGGGCTTTCCTCCACAGAGGCATCGCACGCTCACCAAAAATTGGCCGTCTTCACAAGATTTTTTTTGTCTCAATATAATTACAGAATTACATCAAGATCCATCTTCGTAAGCCATAGAGAGAATCCCATTCGGAGAATGCTATAGAAACCTGCCCTGCTTAGAAACATATCCGAGCCTGAAAAGTATCCGCTTCCTTGGCATAAGCTGCATATCTCTATGTGCCGCACTAGGAGCATGCTGAATCACCATCCCCCAAAACATAAGCGCCACCAACTTACGATTGGTGCATAACGTTGATACTTCGGAGTCGAATCAGCCTGTGCGCCTGTCTTTAGATTTCTAATTCCGGACTTTATGGCTTTAACGCGCGCGGGACGGAGGAACAACGATACCTCGCCGATCCCGAGAAATGCATTCGGGAGAGGTCCAACGGTTCTGTTTGACATGGGTCTATAAGTACGACTGAAAAGTATTCATCACTGAAACCCATAACAGAGGGCAAGCACCGCACATCATTGTTCTTACTCGCAGTAATCCACACACCAACATAGTATCTCAATATGTCTTCCAAGAAGATCATCCTCATCACTGGTAAGTTCCCACCCTGGATCACTAACGAAGAGGCAAGAGTCTTTGGTCATCGAATAGAGAAGACATGCGTCAACCACCGATCAGAATGAGAGTTAACGATGTTCAGGTGCAAACCAGGGCATTGGCTTCGACAGCGCCTGGGCCTTGGTCTCGGCATCCCCTGATAACCACGTCGTCGTCGGCTCCAGGAGCGCGGAGCGGGGCGCCAAGGCTGTGGAGGATCTCCAGGCCCGGAAGCCGGCCGGCACCGTGAGCCTCTTGCAGCTCGACATCACTTCCGACGACTCCATTAAGGCTGGAGTTGAAAAGCTGACCGCCGACTTTGGCGTCCTTGACGTTCTGGTTAACAACGCCGGCATCGTCATCATGCAACCCAAGGATCGCCGCTCCGAGCTGATCGACACCTTCAACACCAACGCAGCTAGCGCATTGCTCCTCACCGAGGCCCTGATACCGCTACTCAAGAAATCTAA